TCGTCCAAACTGACTCAAGTCCCAACTGACTCCCAACTGACTCAAGTCCCAACTGAGTCCCAACTGACTCGTCCCAACTGACTCAAGTCCCAACTGACTCAAGTCCCAACTGACTCAAGTCCCAACTGACTCAAGTCCCAACTGACTCGAGTCCCAACTGACTCCCAACTGACTCAAGTCCCAACTGACTCAAGTCCCAACTGACTCAAGTCCCAACTGACTCCCAACTTACTCAAGTCCCAACTGACTCGAGTCTCAACTGACTCCCAACTGACTCAAGTCCCAACTGACTCAAGTCCCAACTGACTCAAGTCCCAACTGACTCAAGTCCCAACTGACTCAAGTCCCAACTGACTCCAAACTGACTCCCAAGTGACTCCCAACTGACTCCCAACTGACTCCCAACTGACTCAAGTCCCAAATGACTCCCAACTGACTCAAGTCTCAACTGACTCAAGTCCCAACTGACTCCCAACTGACTCAAGTCCCAACTGACTCAAGTTCCAACTGACTCAAGTCCCAACTGACTCAAGTCCCAACTGACTCAAGTCCCAACTGACTCCAAACTGACTCCCAAGTGACTCCCAACTGACTCCCAACTGACTCCCAACTGACTCAAGTCCCAAATGACTCCCAACTGACTCAAGTCCCAACTGACTCGCAACTGACTCAAGTCCCAACTGACTCAAGTCCCAACTGACTCCGAACTGACTCCCAACTGACTCGCAACTGACTCAAGTCCCAACTGACTCAAGTCCCAACTGACTCCCAACTGACTCCCAACTGACTCCCAACTGACTCAAGTCCCAACTGACTCCCAACTGACTCAAGTCCGAACTGACTAAAGTCCCAACTGACTCAAGTCCCAACTGACTCAAGTCCCAACTGACTCAAGTCCCAACTGACTCAAGTCGCAACTGACTCAAGTCCCAACTGACTCAAGTCCCAACTGACTCAAGTCCCAACTGACTCAAGTCCCAACTGACTCAAGTCCCAACTGACTCCCAACTGACTCAAGTCCCAACTGACTCAAGTCCCAACTGACTCAAGTCCCAAATGACTCGAGTCCCAACTGACTCAAGTCCCAACTGACTCCCAACTGACTCCCAACTGACTCCCAACTGACTCAAGTACCAACTGACTCCCAACTGACTCAAATCCCAACTGACTCGCAACTGACTCCCAACTGACTCAAGTCCCAACTGACTCCAAACTGACTCCCAACTGACTCAAGTCCCAACTGACTCCCAACTGACTCAAGTCCCAACTGACTCAAGTCCCAACTGACTCAAGTCCCAATTGACTCGAGTCCCAACTGACTCAAGTCCCAACTGACTCAAGTCCCAACTGACTCAAGTCCCAACTGACTCAAGTCCCAACTGACTCAAGTCCCAACTGACTCAAGTCCCAACTGACTCAAGTCCCAACTGACTCAAGTCCCAACTGACTCAAGTCCCAACTGACTCAAGTCCCAACTGACTCAAGACGTCAGATCTTATGGTCTGTCGATGAATTTTTTTCACTGTGTTTGTAAACTTCTATTTTTAGCACGGGCAAACGTGTCGTGCAACAATGACAAGGGAAGTAAGCAACTACACAATCAGATAACTGGGCCGCACCAGATATCAGAGTCACACTGGCACCATGGGTGTAACAGGAGTGTCTAGACCCACGTGGGTCGCATCAAGTGGGTCAGGAGTCGGGATCTCGGTGATACCCACGTGGCTAACCAAGCGTGTCCAGCTAACAATTTTTTGCTTGAAAATATTTTTTTCATGTGCTGCTGATGTTTGATGGAACCCCGTGGGGGGGGGGGGGGGGCTGGCTGACGTTGTTTGTCTGGCGGTAAATTATTTACACCAGACCCAGATAAGTACGGGGGGGGGGGGAGGGGGGGGTCCGTGTGGTCAACTCGTGTCAAACACCGCATGTTGGTCAACTCCCACCCCAACCCCACCCCAGACCTCTACAAACAAACTGTGCTATGTGTCCTGTCTCCCACCCCACCTCAGACCCCCACCCCCACCCCCAGACCTCTACAACCAAACTGTGCTATGTGTGCTGTCTCCCACTCCACCCCACCCCAGACCCCCACCCCACCCCCAGACCTCTACAACCAAACTGTGCTATGTGTCCTGTCTCCCACCCCACCGCAGACCCCCACCCCCACCCCCAGACCTCTACAACCAAAATGTGCTGTGTCCTGTCCCCCCCCCCCCCCCCCACCCCCAGACCTCTACATAAAGGCTGTGATGCAGAGGCGTAGCGACCCTTCCCGGCACCCGGGGACAAACTTTCGATTTGTCGTCCCCCCCCCCCCCCCCCCTCAAACTTTCAATTTGCAGCCCCCCACTCCCCCCGTCGAACTTTTGATTCACACACTTTTACTTTGTTTTTCCAAAGGTAGGCGCCCAGGAACATATGTCCCCGCCCCCCCCACCCACTACGCCTCTGCTGTGATGTATGTCCTGTCTCCACCCACCCCCCTAGACATCTCCCCACCAGGAAATGAAACAAACATGTTTTTTTATACCTTACCCCCGATGATTTCAGTGGCAACACTCGTGCCGTGGGTCAGGCAGGAAACGGGTATCACGTGACACATGTTTTGGTTCAGGATCACATGCTAGAGCTAACCTTCCCCAGCCTGGCTGGGATACTGACATCAATCTCACTGGCAGTGTTTCTTCCAGACTTTTTTCTCCGGGGGGGCACTTGAAATCTTCGGGGGGCGGTAAACTTTCTTCGGGGGGGGGGGGGGGCGGACACTGTTAAAAGTATATATTTTCTATATAAATTATATAAATTTCATTTCGTTCGGGGGGGGGGGGGGGGCGGTAAAATTTTTTCGGGGGGGGGGGCTTAGCCCCCCCGAAGAGATGCCTGGAAGAAACTCTGCTCACTGGGATACTGACATCAATCTCTCTGGGATACTGACATCAATCTCACTGGGATACTGACATCAATCTCACTGGGATACTGACATCCATCTCACTGGGATACTGACATCAATCTCACTGGGATACTGACATCAATCGCAATGGGATACTGACATCAATCTCACTGGGATACTGACATCAATCTCACTGGGATACTGACATCCATCTCACTGGGATACTGACATCAATCTCATTGGGATACTGACATCAATCTCACTGGGATACTGATATACATCTCACTGGAATACTGACATCAATTTCACTGGGATACTGACATCAATCTCACTGGGATACTGACATCAATCTCACTGGGATACTGAAATCAATCTCACTGGGATACTGACATCAATCTCACTGGGATACTGACATCAATCTCACTGGGATACTGACATCAATCTCACTGGGATACTGACATCAATCTCACTGGGATACTGACATCAATCTCACTGGGATACTGACATCAATCTCACTGGGATACTGACATCAATCTCACTGGGATACTGACATCAATCTCACTGGGATACTGACATCAATCTCACTGGGATACTGACATCAATCTCACTGGGATACTGACATCAATCTCACTGGGATACTGACATCAATCTCACTGGGATACTAACATCAATCTCACTGGGATACTGGGATACTGACATCAATCTCACTGGGATACTGACATCAATCTCACTGGGATACTGACATCAATCTCACTGGGATACTGACATCAATCTCACTGGGATACTGACATCAATGTGGCCAGTTATTGAAAGCACACCCCACTTAAACATCAAATGTTGGTTTTGAACCTACGCCATTCAAGTGAAGCGAGAAATGTGAAGCAACCGCTGGCATTGTTCCACGAGTGAAGGTCGCAGCAAAGTTGGTCTCCAGCCCCGCCCCCACGTCTCTAGCCCCACCCCCGCATCTCTAGCCCAACCCCTCTAGCCCCACACCCGCATCTCTAGACCCACCCCTCTAGCCCCACCCCCACGTCTCTAGCTCCACCCCGCATCTCTAGCCCACCCCCGCATCTCTAGCCCCACCCCCGCGTCTCTAGCCCCACCCTCGCATCTCTAGCCCCACCCCTCTAGCCCCACACCCGCATCTCTAGACCCACCCCTCTAGCCCACCCCCGCATCTCTAGCCCCACCCCCGCGTCTCTAGCCCCACCCCGCTAGGCCCACCCCCGCACCTCTAGCCCCACCCCGCTAGGCCCACCCCCGCACCTCTAGCCCCACCCCTCTAGCCCCACCCCCACGTCTCTAGCCCCACCCCGCTAGGCCCACCCCCGCACCTCTAGCCCCACCCCGCTAGGCCCACCCCCGCACCTCTAGCCCCACCCCTCTAGCCCCACCCCCACGTCTCTAGCTCCACCCCGCATCTCTAGCCCACCCCCGCATCTCTAGCCCCACCCCCGCATCTCTAGCCCCACCCCTCTAGCCCCACCCCCGCATCTCTCGCCCCACCCCCACGTCTCTAGCCCCACCCCCGCGTCTCTCGCCCCACCCCTCGCGCTAGTAACCAGATGGCAAAGTTTCGGGGTCAGCCTGAGGAAAGTTTCCACCACCGCCGACACTGGGGGCGTGACGTGTCGTCTGCTGATCGTCTGGCGGGCAGTACGTGCTTGCATAACCCCTGGGTCCTGCGGGGTCAAGGTCAGACCTCAAGTTAATTACTTGCAAGACGGTAGTTTTCATACCTTGACTTAGCATTACGTCAACCTGATAACTTGTCTTGGTGGTAATCCATTCAACCAGGATTTGTGATTCTAATCCATTGGGAGTTGTGGTTTAAAATCAACCAGTTGTGTTTTACAATCAAGCAGTTGTGTTTTACAATCAACCAGTTGTGTTTTAAATCGATTTCCCGAACCGTGGTTGATTTTACGAGAGATACCGCCCGACTTATTCGTTTAATCCGTCTTCAGATTATACAGCGGATTAACGTTTTCATTTTGTGAAGGTAAAATACGTGCGTTCTCGCATCAATTATCTGGATAATATTCGGTGACACAAGTCTCGTTAATCTGGATACTTGTGGATAACTTTGTGGATATCTTTGTGGATAACTTTGTGGATATCTTTGTGGATAACTTTGTGGATAACTTTGTGGATATTTCTTCCCGTGGTCAGGGTGAAGTTTCACTGAGCTACAAGTGCTAGCAGAATGTGGTCTGAGTTGTATCCGAACCTGGCACCCGTACAGTGCCACTGCCCCATGTATTCATCACGCGGATTAATTCCACCGATATAATCCAGCGAGTCGGATTAATTCCACCGATATAATCCAGCGAGTCGGATTAAGACAAGGATTTTACCTACTAAAGGTAAGCGCCTTTTATTTGACTTTTTGCCCAGCGAGAATCCAACATGGCTGACATGAGACTTGAAACTTTATTGAGACTTGACAATATTTTACACCGAATGGTTGGTAAAGTTAGTAAGGATTGACTTTAGATAGAAGCCGGTCACACATACATATTTGTGTAGTATTTCCTTGGATCAAGTTCTGTTACCCGCAGTTTCTCTACATCTACTTCATCACCATAGTTAGACCCAAATCATCTACTCATATAGACCCGACTCCAAGTTCTATTCATCATTCAAATATTTGTTAGAACTATCCTTCTCTAATCTAGTGAGATCTTTAATACCCTGAATCTAATCCACAACCCGAAACTAAACGAATGCATCTACAGAATAAAATCAAACTAAACCTAACATGACCAAAGTTTGTAATCAACAAAACAAACTTAAACGTCAGCATCAATAAAGCCGAACCTGAACACAGATTTATTGTTTGATGAACTAGAAATCTGTGTTAAATTATAGAACCTTAACCTAAACTTAAACCCGAAACTAAAGGTTCCTACACCCAAACCTACCCAACACGCGCCAAACCTACACACAGACCCAAACACCAAACCTACGCCCACGCCCACCACACTTTGTTTTATTTTATTATTTTTAAGTAAGTATCCGCCCATTTACGTATTAAAACGATTGTGAAAAAGCTACGTTAAAAATAACTAGCGTCACTACTAGCAGCACCACTGTACGACGGTTCTACCCTTATAATTAACTAGCTAATTAGCTAATTAGGGATGTGTATCAGTGTTCACTATTCTGACTAAGCCTACTTAAAAAACCGACTGTACCAGTTTAAATGCAAGCCCAAACATCTTCAGAGCCACCCCACCCCCCCCCCCCCACCCCAGACCTCACTCGTGCACCGTATGTCACACACAGCGTCATCTGTAGACAATAACTTTTTTTGTCACTGATGTTACTGGGGGTCTTTATATCAAGTTTCAGTAGCCTGTACTGTACTATAATCCTGGCTATACAATATCAAGCACTATAATCCTGGCCCTACAACAGCCTGTACTATAATCCTGGCTAAACTATCGCTAAACCCTGGCTAAACCTGCGCTAAACCCCGGTTACTAAACCCTAGCTAAATCTTGGCTTAACCCTCGCTAAACTCTCGCTAAACCCTGATAACTAAACCCTCGGTGTACATCAAAATTTAGGGCTAGCGTTATCGTTAGGGTTTATAATTCGTGTGATGTTATCCCTAAAATTAGAAATTAGGATGAGTTACATTAGCCGATACACGAGCTCCACAATTGTGCTTTAACCAAGTGTAATGGTGGGCGGAGCTATAGCACAAACTTTTGATCCCATGGGGAGGGGGGAAGGAACTGTTTTGTGTATACTTTTAATAGACACCCCCCCCTTTCCCCATTTTACAAATGTGTCATGGCCATTGATTTCTTTTCTAACCTCGCTATTCGTAGTTGGACAAATGTTTTTTACAAACCCAGAAATTGCCGTTTGGTAACCTTGACGGTTAAATAAGGGGCGTCAACCGAGGCTAATCCACCCACGTGTGACGTCACACGCCGGGTAAACCTCGCGTCGCTCATGTGTGACGTCATGAACTGGGTTGTTCTGGGGTCACTCGTGAGCGGCCTACATACGATCACCCCCCCGGCCTACATACGATCACCCCCCCCCAGGCCTACATACTAGCACACGCCCCCCCCTAGGCCTACATACGATCACACGTTTCCCGCTCCTCCCCTCCCCCCCCAGCCCCCCCAGGCCGACCTAGATCTGACCATGACCTTCATATTTTCTTCTGTTAGTGCCGGGGATGCACTTTATCGACCCACCGTGGAAATTGTGAGGGGTTGACGTGCGGGGCTGTCTTATGCGCGGGTCTGTCTTATGTGCGGGGCTGTCTTATGTGCGGGGCTGTCTTATGTGTGGGGCTGTCTTATGTGTGAGTCTGTCTTATGTGCGGGTCTGTCTTATGTGCGGGACTGTCTTATGTGTGGGGCTGTCTTATGTGTGGGGCTGTCTTATGTGTGAGTCTGTCTTATGTGCGGGGCTGTCTTATGTGCGGGTCTGTCTTATGTCAAGTGCTTCTGGACGGATGGAAGGGGGGGGGGGTGGGGTGTATTGCACTGAACATCACCTTAAGGTACGGCAAGCAGGATTTACTACGACAATCCTCCAAAGTATTTTTACCTGTATTTAACTTCACTCATTACGGCAATCGGGAGCTCGCAACATTGGACATCTAGAGAAGTGTGTGTGTGTGTGGGGGGGGGGGGGTTATAATGATTACAGATGTGACATTACATTGAACACATGTCGTGGGCTTCTCATGACATGACACGTGACATGATAGTTGAGCACCAGACGATCAGGCCGCCTGCCCCCCCCCCTCCCCCCACCAGACGGCAGCACTTTTAACCCAATACGACGATTGCCCTCGTTAGGTATAGGCCAGATTTGACGAGCATAAATACCTGCGACCTTTAACCCGGAAGTCGTCTAATGAACATTGCCCGGAGTACCAGCCGAACTAAGCAAGTTACCTGCAAGTCTATGTTGTGACAGGCGACTTGAAATGATAGGTGGAGTCACAACCTTCCCCCCCCCCACCTTACCTGATGTAGGGACACGTCATTATGTGGACACCAAGGCACACACAGCAATCTACACGTCATTATGTTAATTAGGGTCAGCGGAGATTTAACGGCCTCAAAAAGTCAAAGGTTATGTCGATATGACGTCCAAATTAAGGTCAAAGGTTATGTCGATATGACGTCCAAATTAAGGTCAAAGGTTATGTCGATATGACGTCCAAATTAAGGTCAAAGGTTTTGTCGATATGACGTCCAAATTAAGGTCAAAGGTTATGTCGATATGACGTCCAAATTAAGGTCAAAGGTTATGTCGATATGACGTCCAAATTAAGGTCAAAGGTTATGTCGATATTACGTCCAAATTAAGGTCAAAGGTTATGTCGATATGACGTCCAAATTAAGGTCAAAGGTTATGTCGATATGACGTCCAAATTAAGGTCAAAGGTTATGTCGATATGACGTCCAAATTAAGGTCAAAGGTTATGTCGATATGACGTCCAAATTAAGGTCAAAGGTTATGTCGATATGACGTCCAACAACACGACCGTCTTGAAGTCACTAGGTATGACGTCAGAGCCCGTGTTACAGGTACCAAAAAGAAAGTTCTCGTCATCAACATAAGCTAACAGGTAGAACAGGTGTGTAGGGAATAATTGAAGGTCACCTTCATTAACCGTCTAATCCAATTAGTCAAAAGAAAGATTGCAGGCCTACGTTTGATGTGTTCATCACATTGGTCTACAAGTTGCCCCTCTGTACTAGTGTTTATGTTATCTCCCCTTTTTTATACAATTTACACTTAAAATAAAACTAGACTACCCGCCATCCGTTGGATAACTGTGGGTTTCGGGGGTCATCCATAAAAAACATCACGTCTGTCACTCAGGGGCGTAGCGACCCTTCCCGGCGCCCGGGGACAAACTTTTCGATTTGCACCCCCCCCCCCCGCAAAATTTCGATTAGCACCCCCCCCCTCAAACTTTCGATGTGCACCCCCCTCAAGATTTTGATTTGCAACCCCCCCCTCCTAAAACTTTCAATTTGCACCCCCCTCAACCTTTTAATTTATTTTTCCAACCCATTTTAGCGCCCCCTAAGGTCGCCGCCCGAGGACATATGTCCCCCCGCCCCCCCCCCTCGCTACGCTACTGCAGTGTCACTTATCGTCACAAAAAACCAGACCCCACATTCAAAAAGATGTTTCTTATATTTTAAAAACACCGAAAACACCGATTTCGGACTATCCCTTCATATACTGACGTCACAGGTGACCTACTCAACTCTACTTCACCTGCCCAGTGTCCCGCCAAGTCTCAGACAACATGTTTTTATCGTTTAAAAAAAACGAATCCAGCCGAGCATGTCTCTGACCACACTATCCCTTCATATGCTTAGGACAAAGAAACAGATTAACTCTACTTCACCTGCTCTGTATCCCGCCAAGTTCAGATAGGCAACTTTATCATTCACATCTAAAAAATAAAATAAAAAATTGAAAAAAAAAATTAACATTGACGTATTGGTCTAGAACCCGTGCCACCTGCATGAAAGCAGACTACACTAACAACTTAGCTATTTAACTCGTGACGTCACTGATGTTTTTTTATAGTATAGTTTAAACTTTGAGTCTCCTTATGCAACTTGATTTACGCGCATAGATCTAGATCTAAGTCTAGTAGTAGTAACTTTCAAATTAAATTTTATCTTAAATTAGCCAAACAAAGATTTATATAAAATAGTGAAGGTTTGAAATTATCTAGATCTAGATAGAATTATCTAGATCTAGATTCTACGATTCGTTTGCTTAAGTCTTAAGTGTAGTTTTTGCATAACTCTTGCTAGATCTAGATCTAGAATCTAGATCTAATCATTAGCTACGCAAATAGGCCCTGGATCGAGCATTTCCAAATGAGCATATTCCAAACAAAGATTTATATAAAATAATAAAGGTCTAAAATAGTTTAGTATATAGAAAAACATTATTATCTAAATCTAGATAGAATTATCTATATTCTAGATCTACGACTGGTTTACTTAAGTCTAGTTTTTTTTTTTTTTTTTTTTTTGGATTGCATTTATAAATAATAAATCTTTGATTTGACCTAGATTCTAGATCTATAAATAACTTTCTTGGAAAGATTGTAGAGCTAGAGAAATTTATTGTAAAACTAAATGAAAAAGACAGTTGAAAATTTATATAAGTGTTGGAACGTAATAAATACAGCAAACGGACGTATTGTTAAAGTTATAGCCGACAGAAAATTAGCTTTAGAACGCGTTAAACATTGGAATGGGAACACAATCTTCTTCGATGGACGCCGCCATTTTATTGTACTAAAAAGTAAACAAAAAATGTGACGTCACTTTTCCGTCGAGTCGAGTCGTTTTTCTAATCTTTTAAAATTAATGTGGTTAATCTACCTATGAATAAATCAATAAATAAATTAACGTCTTTAAATAAATTTGTGATTAACAGTCTGTCTGAAAACAAAATTTTTTCTCTACCTACATACTATTTTACAGCTCTCCACATAGAGTAGAACCATTTACAATAGTCAATCAGACAAAGAAAAAAAAACAAACAAAAAAATAAATATTCAAACGTAAACAAACTTGAGTTTTAGTAGTATATAGATAGTCTAACAAATAAAAGCCATTAATTAGATTAAAAATTACATATTCTTGCATTGTCATCCAAGATCTACCACTGTGTCAGATTACAGCTCAATCTGACAATGGGAAGTGGGTTAAATTAATATGCCAGGATTTGTGGAGCCACATTGTAAGTAAAAGAAATCAAAGCCTTTACACTATTGTCTTCATCGTGTTGGTAGTTGCGCGTCCATTTCTTGCTCTATTTCACCCCCAGCATCAATGATGGCTCCGTGGTCTAGAGACAGCCCCCAGTATGGCGCCTTCATCAAGGCCACACGCACCAACGGGGCGGCGATTGAGCAAAACACAGGCCAAGGTCAAGAAGAGGTGTACTCACCCGTCAATGTCGAGGTCATCTCAAACTGCTGCTATGCTGACCCCGTGTCCAACAGAGGGCGCGTTCTGCAGGTTTGTGGCACCACTCACCTGTCTACACCACTCACCTGTCCACACCACTCACCTGTCTACACCACTCACCTGTCTACACCACTCACCTGTCTACACCACTCAGCTGTCTACACCACTCACCTGTCTACACCACTCACCTGTCTACACCACTCACCTGCCTACACCACTCATCTGTCTACACCACTCACCTGTCTACACAACTCACCTGTCTACACCACTCACCTGTGTACACCACTCACCTGTCTACACCACTCATCTGTCTACACCACTCACCTGTCTACACCACTCACCTGTCTACACCACTCACCTGTCTACACCACTCACCTGTCTACACCACTCACCTGTCTACACCACTCACCTGTCTACACAACTCACCTGTCTACACCACTCACCTGTCTACACCACTCACCTGTCTGCACCTACACCTACACCACTCACCTGTCTACACCACTCACCTGTCTACACCACTCACCTGTCTACACCACTCACCTGTCTACACCACTCACCTGTCTACACCACTCACCTGTCTACACCACTCACCTCCCCAGATGTTCCGTGCCATAGCTCTCATGCTAATTCCTCTAATGGCACTGGTCAGTCTCGCCTGCTACTGGATGGTCACAAACGTCATCGTCAAGAGTGACCTTGAGAACGACAAGGTCATGGTCAACAGGGGTCAGACTGTAGGTGAGTACAATTAGTTGCAGGGATGTCTTAAGTGCGGGTCTGTCTTATGTGCGGGTCTGTAGACGTGAATGTGGGGCCCAGGCAGAACTTTCTAGACTATGAATAAAAATTTATGATTGCCATAAACGAATCTTATAACGTAGCTAACGCTTCACTTAACGTCGCTAACGATTCACTTAACGTCGCAGGTAGCGTGGCCTACGCCTTACAGCTGGAGAGGGCGACGGTTGTGTACGCTCTGGAGGAAAAAGATCTAAGTCTGGTCGGTGAGCAGTACAAGGTAGGTCAAGGTCGTTGTCTGCTCATTTGGGTCAAGGTTGTTGTCTGCTCATTTGGGTCAAGGTTGTTGCCTGCTCATTTGTGTGCGTCAGTGGGGGTGGAAAGGCTGGGTGTAAGGCTTTGTGGATGTAAAGTGTGTTGTGTAAAGCCTTGTGTGTGTAAAGCCTTGTGTGTAAAGCCTTGTGTGTAAAGTGTGTTGTGTATAAATCCTTGTGTGTGTAAATCCTTGTGTGTAAATCATATTGAGACGTGTATCCACAGGCCACAGACGCAGCCATTAGAGAGTCGGCCAGTTTCCCCACCAAGTGTTTCAACGACTCGGAGCATTTCATCCGTCAACTGTGGGAGCACCGAAGGCAGATCAGCATGAACGCGTCATCACGTACCACACACGACGAAGTGGGCTACTACAGGTGAGGTGGGCTACTATAGGTGGGCTACCACAGGTGAGGTGGGCTACTACAGGTGAGGTGGGCTATTACAGGAGGGCTACTACAGGTGAGGTGGGCTACTACAGGTGAGGTGGACTACTACAGGTGGGCTACTACAGGTGAGGTGGGCTACTACAGGTGGGGTGGGCTACTACAGGTGAGGTGGGCTACTACAGGTGGGCTACTACAGGTGAGGTGGGCTACTACAGGTGGGGTGGGCTACTACAGGTGGGGTGGGCTACTACAGGTGGGCTACTACAGGTGAGGTGGGCTACTACAGATGAGGTGGGCTATTACAGGAGGGCTACTACAGTTGGGCTACTACAGGTGGGGTGGGCTACTACAGGTGAGGTGGGCTACTACAGGTGGGCTACTACAGGTGAGGTGGGCTACTACAGGTGAGGTGGGCTACTACAGGTGAGGTGGGCTACTACAGGTGGGGTGGGCTACTACAGTTGGGCTACTACAGGTGGGGTGGGCTACTACAGGTGAGGTGGGCTACTACAGGTGGGCTACTACAGGTGAGGTGGGCTACTACAGGTGGGGTGGGCTACTACAGGTGGGGTGGGCTACTACAGGTGAGGTGGGCTACTACAGGTGGGCTACTACAGGTGAGGTGGGCTACTACAGGTGAGGTGGGCTACTACAGGTGAGATGGGCTACTACAGGTGGGCTACTACAGGTGAGGTGGGCTATTACAGGAGGGCTACTACAGTTGGGCTACTACAGGTGGGGTGGGCTACTACAGGTGAGGTGGGCTACTACAGGTGGGCTACTACAGGTGAGGTGGGCTACTACAGGTGAGGTGGGCTACTACATGTGAGGTGGGCTACTACAGGTGGGCTACTACAGGTGAGGTGGGCTACTACAGGTGAGGTGGGCTACTACAGGTGGGCTACTACAGGTGAGGTGGGCTACTACAGGTGAGGTGGGCTACTACAGGTGGGCTACTACAGGTGAGGTGGGCTACTACAGGTGGGGTGGGCTACTACAGGTGAGGTGGGCTACTACAGGTGAGGTGGGCTACTACAGGTGAGGTGGGCTACTACAGGTGAGGTGGGCTACTACAGGTGAGGTGGGCTACTACAGATAAGGTGGGCTATTACAGGAGGTGAGGTGGGCTACTACAGGTGAGGTGGGCTACTACAGGTGAGGTGGGCTACTACAGATGGGCTACTACAGGTGAGGTGGGCTACTACAGGTGAGGTGGGCTACTACAGGTGAGGTGGGCTACTACAGGTGAGGTGGGCTACTACAGGTGAGGTGGGCTACTACAGGTGAGGTGGGCTACTACAGGTGAGGTGGGCTACTACAGGTGAGGTGGGCTACTACAGGTGAGGTGGGCTACTACAGGTGAGGTGGGCTACTACAGGTGAGTTGGGCTACTACAGGTGAGGTGGGCTACTACAGATGAGGTGGGCTTCTACAGGTGAGGTGGGCTACTACAGGTGAGGTGGGCTACTACAGGTGAGGTGGGCTACTACAGGTGAGGTGGGCTACTACAGGTGAGGTGAGCTACTACAGTTGGGCTACTACAGGTGAGGTGGGCTACTACAGGTGAGGTGGGCTACTACAGGTGAGGTGGGCTACTACAGGTGAGGTGGGCTACTACAGGTGAGGTTGGCTACTACAGGTGAGGTGGGCTACCACAGGTGAGGTGGGCTACTACAGGTGAGGTGGGCTACTACAGGTGGGCTACTACAGGTGAGGTGGGCTACTACAGGTGAGGTGGGCTACTACAGGTGAGGTGGGCTACTACTGGTGAGGTGGGCTACTACAGGTGAGGTGGGCTACTACAGGTGGGGTGGGCTACTACAGGTGAGGTGGGCAAACTATTTCTACCTTCCAAAGCTGAAACGCAACACACGCCATGACGCCATTTCATAATTAGGGAATAATACAATTGTTAATTAGTGATGGTGGAAATATTACACACAGGCATGACAGAAGAATTTCTGCAAGCATACAATTATACCTTGCTAAGCTGTGTAAGAAGCATGACAGAGTATCTTACAGAGCTCCTGTCGTTAGCTCAACTCGGGTAATTTTGTAAGCTCCCATAGTACACTCAACTCATGTAGGACACTGAACATATATTTGTGTTGTAGGGTATTTTGGTGTGAGAAACATTTTCATTTAATCAAGGCCTAAGTCCTAAGGTTTTAAAGTCCTAAAACTATTCCCCACAACCGTTTCACCAAGTTCTAAAACTATTTCCCACAGCCGTTTCACTAAGTTCTAAAACTATTCCCCACAGCCGTTTCACTAAGTTCTAAAACTATTCCCCACAACCGTTTCACCAAGTTCTAAAACTATTTCCCACAGCCGTTTCACTAAGTTCTAAAACTATTTCCCACAGCCGTTTCACCAAGTTCTAAAACTATTCCCCACAGCCGTTTCACCAAGTCCTAAAACTATTCCCCACAGCGGTTTTCACCAAGTCCTAAAACTATTCCCCACAGCCGTTTCACCAAGCCCTAAAACTATTCCCCACAGCCGTTTCACTAAGTCCTAAAACTATTCCCCACAGCCGTTTCACCAAGTCCTAAAACTATTCCCCACAGCCGTTTCACCAAGTACTATTCCCCACAGCCGTTTCACCAAGTTCTATTCCCCACAGCCGTTTCACCAAGACCTAAAACTATTCCCCACAGCCGTTTCACCAAGTTCTAAAACTATTCCCCACAGCCGTTTCACCAAGTCCTAAAACTATTCCCCACAGCCGTTTGACCAAGCCCTAAAACTATTCCCCACAGCCGTTTCACCAAGTCCTAAAACTATTCCCCACAGCCGTTTCACCAAGTTCTAAAACTATTCCCCACAGCCGTTTCACCAAGTCCTAAAACTATTTCCCACAGCCGTTTCACCAAGTCCTAAAACTATTCCCCACAGCCGTTTCACCAAGTCCTAAAACTATTCCCCACAGCCGTTTCACCAAGTTCTATTCCCCACAGCCGTTTCACCAAGTTCTATTCCCCACAGCCGTTTCACCAAGTTCTAAAACTATTCCCCACAGCCGTTTCACCAAGTACTATTCCCCACAGCCGTTTCACCAAGTACTATTCCCCACAGCCGTTTCACCAAGTCCTAAAACTATTCCCCACAGCCGTTTCACCAAGATCTAAAACTATTCCCCACAGCCGTTTCACCAAGTCCTAAAACTATTCCCCACAGCCGTTTCACCAAGTCCTTAAACTATTCCCCACAACCGTTTCACCAAGTTCTATTCCCCACAGCCGTTTCACCAGGTTCTAAAACTATTCCCCACAGCCGTTTCACCAAGTTCTATTCCCCACAGCCGTTTCACCAAGTTCTAAAACTATTCCCCACAGCCGTTTTACCAAGTTCTAAAACTATTCCCCACAGCCGTTTCACCAAGTTCTAAAACTATTCCCCACAGCCGTTTCACCAAGTACTATTCCCCACAGCCGTTTCACCAAGTACTATTCCCCACAGCCGTTTCACCAAGTCCTAAAACTATTCCCCACAGCCGTTTCACCAAGTTCTATTCCCCACAGCCGTTTCACCAAGTTCTATTCCCCACAGCCGTTTCACCAAGTTCTATTCCCCACAGCCGTTTCACCAAGTTCTATTCCCCACAGCCGTTTCACCAAGTTCTATTCCCCACAGCCGTTTCACCAAGTTCTATTCCCCACAGCCGTTTCACCAAGTTCTATTCCCCACAGCCGTTTCACCAAGTTCTATTCCCCACAGCCGTTTCACCAAGTTCTATTCCCCACAGCCGTTTCACCAAGCCCTAAAACTATTCCCCACAGCCGTTTCACCAAGTTCTAAAACTATTTCCCACAGCCGTTTCACCAAGTCCTAAAACTATTCCCCACAGCCGTTTCACCAAGTCCTAAAACTATTCCCCACAGCCGTTTCACCAAGTACTATTCCCCACAGCCGTTTCACCAAGTTCTATTCCCCACAGCCGTTTCACCAAGACCTAAAACTATTCCCCACAGCCGTTTCACCAAGTCCTAAAACTATTCCCCACAGCCGTTTCACCAAGTTCTATTCCCCACAGCCGTTTCACCAAGTTCTATTCCCCACAGCCGTTTCACCAAGTCCTAAAACTATTCCCCACAGCCGTTTCACCAAGTTCTATTCCCCACAGCCGTTTCACCAAGTTCTATTCCCCACAGCAGTTTCACCAAGTTCTATTCCCCACAGCCGTTTCACCAAGTTCTATTCCCCACAGCCGTTTCACCAAGTTCTATTCCCCACAGCCGTTTCACCAAGTTCTATTCCCCACAGCCGTTTCACCAAGTTCTATTCCCCACAGCCGTTTCACCAAGTTCTATTCCCCACAGCCGTTTCACCAAGTTCTATTCCCCACAGCCGTTTGACCAAGTTCTATTCCCCACAGCCGTTTCACCAAGTTCTATTCCCCACAGCCGTTTTACCAAGTTCTATTCCCCACAGCCGTTTTACCAAGTTCTATTCCCCACAGCCGTTTCACCAAGTTCTATTCCCCACAGCCGTTTGACCAAGTTCTATTCCCCACAGCCGTTTCACCAAGTTCTATTCCCCACAGCCGTTTCACCAACTGTTTCCTGGAGGTGCTGATGGGTCTGGCCAAGGACATGAACCATGGGAGCGTCTGGCAGGATTACGTCAGCTACAAGATGCTGCTCAAGGCCCAGGAGAGCGTGGGCGTGCTGCTGTCAATCGGCATCACGTTCTTCGAGGACGGTTACCTGCCCCTGTTCGACTACAACCTGCTGCGTACAGAGGACGTTGCGGCGCGTGAGTACATCGAGATCGCCCTCCTCTTCTCCCCCTTCGCCGCCGCACGATACGAGGAACACAACAGGACCAAACCTCAAGCGTTCAAGGTCACCAAGGAGTACCGGCAGTTCTGGCAGGTAGTCACGTGATTAATCATTACACTTGTCTGGTTTTAGAAATAATTAATTACATTTTGGGAATTTCTGTATTAGGGCACCTCTTGAAGTGGTATATCTTATTTATTGAATCATCTAAAAAATATATTTAAAACGATCCTTAGTTTTTATCAATCTATTAATGACTTTAAAATATTGCTTGGTTAATCTAAATTAAGCACGAAACTTACCCCCATCCCTCCCCAGCAAAACAACTTCAGTCGACCGAGCGCCGAAGAGGGCCGGATGTTCCACAAGAGTGCCATGGATTACTTTAAAATTCTCTCCGAGATCAGTGGGGTCTTGAGCAAGAAGGTAAGTCTGGGTACGTAATTTTCCCTTTCAAACCTGACGGTCTATGGGGCAAGTGAAGTAGAGTTCACTTGTTTCTGTGACCTCGGCATATGAAGAGATGGTGTGGTCTGCACTACGCCCAGCCGCCTTTACTTCCCCTAACGTGAGTTAGATACCCATCAGAGTTGGGTGGACTCAGGGACGGTCTACTGACTTGAACTCGGATTCGAACTCGTGACTTACGGGTTAGAAGTCCAGTTCTCTACCGCTAGACCACCCAGTCCGTAGCACGTACGTAAGGGAAACCCACGAGCGTGTGAAAATTTCTGCTTGAAATCATTTGAAATGATATACTTGGGTACATTAGTTAGAAGGTCTGTTGTTGTGTATAGAATAATAAATGAGTTGTATCTATCATTGATTTAATCGAATTCTTCAGATCATCGATCAGGTAGACAAGGAAATCGCCACGTCAATCAACATGATGGTGGTGGCATGTATGGTGTTCATCTGTGTCCTCATCATGACACCAATACTGGTCAAACTCATGCACACCTTGACCATGTCTATTCAGGTGAGACATGCACACCTTGACCATGTCCATTCAGGTGAGACATGCACACCTTGACCATGTCCATTCAGGTGAGACAAACTCATGCACACCTTGACCATGTCCATTCAGGTGAGACAAACTCATGCACACCTTGACCATGTCCATTCAGGTGAGACATGCACATCTTGACCATGTCTATTCAGGTGAGACATGCACACCTTGACCATGTCCATTCAGGTGAGACAAACTCATGCACACCTTGACCATGTCCATTCAGGTGAGACATGCACACCTTGACCATGTCCATTCAGGTGAGACATGCACACCTTGACCATGTCAATTCAGGTGAGACAAACTCATGCACACCTTGACCATGTCCATTCAGGTGAGACATGCACACCTTGACCATGTCCATTCAGGTGAGACATGCACACCTTGACCATGTCCATTCAGGTGAGACAAACTCATGCACACCTTGACCATGTCCATTCAGGTGAGACATGCACACCTTGACCATGTCCATTCAGGTGAGACATGCACACCTTGACCATGTCCATTCAGGTGAGACATGCACACCTTGACCATGTCCATTCAGGTGAGACATGCACACCTTGACCATGTCCATTCAGGTGAGACATGCACACCTTGACCATGTCCATTCAGGTGAGACAAACTCATGCACACCTTGACCATGTCCATTCAGGTGAGACATGCACACCTTGACCATGTCCATTCAGGTGAGACAAACTCATGCACACCTTGACCATGTCCATTCAGGTGAGACAAACTCATGCACATCTTGACCATGTCCATTCAGGTGAGACATGCACACCTTGACCATGTCCATTCAGGTGAGACATGCAGACCTTGACCATGGCTATTCAGGTGAGACATGCACACCTTGACCATGTCCATTCAGGTGAGACATGCACACCTTGACCATGTCCATTCAGGTGAGACTTGCACACCTTGACCATGTCCATTCAGGTGAGACAAACTCATGCACACCTTGACCATGTCCATTCAGGTGAGACAAACTCATGCACACCTTGACCATGTCCATTCAGGTGAGACAAACTCATGCAAACCTTGACCATGTCCATTCAGGTGAGACAAACTCATGCACACCTTGACCATGTCTATTCAGGTGAGACAAACTCATGCACACCTTGACCATGTCCATTCAGGTGAGACATGCACACCTTGACCATGTCTATTCAGGTGAGACATGCACACCTTGACCATGTCCATTCAGGTGAGACAAACTCATGCACACCTTGACCATGTCCATTCAGGTGAGACATGCACACCTTGACCATGTCCATTCAGGTGAGACATGCACACCTTGACCATGTCCATTCAGGTGAGACAAACTCATGCACACCTTGACCATGTCCATTCAGGTGAGACATGCACACCTTGACCATGTCCATTCAGGTGAGACAAACTCATGCACACCTTGACCATGTCCATTCAGGTGAGACATGCACACCTTGACCATGTCCATTCAGGTGAGACATGCACACCGTGACCATGTCCATTCAGGTGAGACAAACTCATGCACACCTTGACCATGTCCATTCAGGTGAGACATGCACATCTTGACCATGTCCATTCAGGTGAGACAAACTCATGCACACCTTGACCATGTCCATTCAGGTGAGACAAACTCATGCACACCTTGACCATGTCCATTCAGGTGAGACAAACTCATGCACACCTTGACCATGTCCATTCAGGTGAGACATGCACACCTTGACCATGTCCATTCAGGTGAGACAAACTCATGCACACCTTGACCATGTCCATTCAGGTGAGACATGCACACCTTGACCATGTCCATTCAGGTGAGACATGCACACCGTGACCATGTCCATTCAGGTGAGACAAACTCATGCACACCTTGACCATGTCCATTCAGGTGAGACATGCACACCTTGACCATGTCTATTCAGGTGAGACATGCACACCTTGACCATGTCCATTCAGGTGAGACAAACTCATGCACACCTTGACCATGTCCATTCAGGTGAGACAAACTCATGCACACCTTGACCATGTCCATTCAGGTGAGACATGCACACCTTGACCATGTACATTCAGGTGAGACAAACTTATGCACACCTTGACCATGTCCATTCAGGTGAGACAAACTGATGCACACCTTGACCATGTCCATTCAGGTGAGACATGCACACCTTGACCATGTCCATTCAGGTGAGACAAACTCATGCACACCTTGACCATGTCCATTCAGGTGAGACAAACTCATGCACACCTTGACCATGTCCATTCAGGTGAGACAAACTCATGCAAACCTTGACCATGTCCATTCAGGTGAGACAAACTCATGCACACCTTGACCATGTCTATTCAGGTGAGACAAACTCATGCACACCTTGACCATGTCCATTCAGGTGAGACATGCACACCTTGACCATGTCTATTCAGGTGAGACATGCACACCTTGACCATGTCCATTCAGGTGAGACAAACTCATGCACACCTTGACCATGTCCATTCAGGTGAGACATGCACACCTTGACCATGTCCATTCAGGTGAGACATGCACACCTTGACCATGTCCATTCAGGTGAGACAAACTCATGCACACCTTGACCATGTCCATTCAGGTGAGACATGCACACCTTGACCATGTCCATTCAGGTGAGACAAACTCATGCACACCTTGACCATGTCCATTCAGGTGAGACATGCACACCTTGACCATGTCCATTCAGGTGAGACATGCACACCGTGACCATGTCCATTCAGGTGAGACAAACTCATGCACACCTTGACCATGTCCATTCAGGTGAGACATGCACATCTTGACCATGTCCATTCAGGTGAGACAAACTCATGCACACCTTGACCATGTCCATTCAGGTGAGACAAACTCATGCACACCTTGACCATGTCCATTCAGGTGAGACAAACTCATGCACACCTTGACCATGTCCATTCAGGTGAGACATGCACACCTTGACCATGTCCATTCAGGTGAGACAAACTCATGCACACCTTGACCATGTCCATTCAGGTGAGACATGCACACCTTGACCATGTCCATTCAGGTGAGACATGCACACCGTGACCATGTCCATTCAGGTGAGACAAACTCATGCACACCTTGACCATGTCCATTCAGGTGAGACATGCACACCTTGACCATGTCTATTCAGGTGAGACATGCACACCTTGACCATGTCCATTCAGGTGAGACAAACTCATGCACACCTTGACCATGTCCATTCAGGTGAGACAAACTCATGCACACCTTGACCATGTCCATTCAGGTGAGACATGCACACCTTGACCATGTACATTCAGGTGAGACAAACTTATGCACACCTTGACCATGTCCATTCAGGTGAGACAAACTGATGCACACCTTGACCATGTCCATTCAGGTGAGACATGCACACCTTGACCATGTCCATTCAGGTGAGACATGCACACCGTGACCATGTCCATTCAGGTGAGACAAACTCATGCACACCTTGACCATGTCCATTCAGGTGAGACATGCACACCTTGACCATGTCTATTCAGGTGAGACATGCACACCTTGACCATGTCCATTCAGGTGAGACAAACTCATGCACACCTTGACCATGTCCATTCAGGTGAGACAAACTCATGCACATCTTGACCATGTCCATTCAGGTGAGACATGCACACCTTGACCATGTCCATTCAGGTGAGACAAACTCATGCACACCTTGACCATGTCCATTCAGGTGAGACAAACTCATGCACACCTTGACCATGTCCATTCAGGTGAGACATGCACACCTTCACCATGTCCATTCAGGTGAGACATGCACATCTTGACCATGTCCATTCAGGTGAGACAAACTCATGCACACCTTGACCATGTCCATTCAGGTGAGACATGCACACCTTGACCATGTCCATTCAGGTGAGACATGCACATCTTGACCATGTCCATTCAGGTGAGACAAACTCATGCACACCTTGACCATGTCCATTCAGGTGAGACAAACTCATGCACACCTTGACCATGTCCATTCAGGTGAGACATGCACACCTTGACCATGTCCATTCAGGTGAGACATGCACATCTTGACCATGTCCATTCAGGTGAGACATGCACACCTTGACCATGTCCATTCAGGTGAGACATGCACACCTTGACCATGTCCATTCAGGTGAGACAAACTCATGCACACCTTGACCATGTCCATTCAGGTGAGACATGCACACCTTGACCATGTCCATTCAGGTGAGACATGCACACCGTGACCATGTCCATTCAGGTGAGACAAACTCATGCACACCTTGACCATGTCCATTCAGGTGAGACATGCACACCTTGACCATGTCTATTCAGGTGAGACATGCACACCTTGACCATGTCCATTCAGGTGAGACAAACTCATGCACACCTTGACCATGTCCATTCAGGTGAGACAAACTCATGCACACCTTGACCATGTCCATTCAGGTGAGACATGCACACCTTGACCATGTCCATTCAGGTGAGACATGCACACCTTGACCATGTCCATTCAGGTGAGACATGCACACCTTGACCATGTCCATTCAGGTGAGACAAACTCATGCACACCTTGACCATGTCCATTCAGGTGAGACATGCACACCTTGACCATGTCCATTCAGGTGAGACATGCACACCTTGACCATGTCCATTCAGGTGAGACAAACTCATGCACACCTTGACCATGTCCATTCAGGTGAGACATGCACATCTTGACCATGTCCATTCAGGTGAGACAAACTCATGCACACCTTGACCATGTCCATTCAGGTGAGACAAACTCATGCACACCTTGACCATGTCCATTCAGGTGAGACAAACTCATGCACACCTTGACCATGTCCATTCAGGTGAGACATGCACACCTTGACCATGTCCATTCAGGTGAGACAAACTCATGCACACCTTGACCATGTCCATTCAGGTGAGACATGCACACCTTGACCATGTCCATTCAGGTGAGACATGCACACCGTGACCATGTCCATTCAGGTGA